ATCAAAATATGGCCCATCAAAATTAAGAGTTTTAGTGGGTATACCTCATGTAACCCTCTTCGGCGTGCTTAAATCGCCATTAATGTCAAAACTTGAAGTTTCTTCTGAAAACCTTAACAATGGTGGAAATTAAAAGAAGAGTAAAGAGAAAAAGAAGAATGACAGAGAAGTAAGAAAGCTTTACCAATTTGTGAGGAACCATAATTTTTTGGAGCAAAATCGTGGTGGATTCATGGAGAGAAATTCGTGCTTGAATTTGATTTGAGAATCTTATTGAGAGAAAAAGAAAAATCGTGTGCTAACTGAAGGAGAAAAGAGAAAGTAACCGGCGTATTCATGCCTATACTGTAGTATACATAATAAATGTGTATTTTGCTATATAATATAAAAGGTAACTATAAGTAATAATATTTTAAAAGTGTTTTGGATAATAAATTGGGTGCAATAGTTAGGTATAAGATGTAAAATTTTCTTAGTGATATTGTTTGTTCTAGGCCCAGGCCCGCACGACTTTAAAATGCGTCACTAGGGCCTAAGGCTTGTTTACTTATATATCTGACATTTCTTTCGCGTTTTGTCGATGTGGGATTTACCTAGTGTGTTACATACACCCCCTAGGGACTCAGCGTCCTCGCTGAGGTTTGTCCCACCATCGTTGAAGGTTGCACGCGAAGTGGTTCTGATACCATATGTAACAACCCGCTCCACTAATGATACTAGAACATTTTATATCCTATAGCTAACTATTGCACCCTATTTATTATAAACCAAAATACTTTCAAAATATTATTACTTATAACTACCTTTTATATTATATAGCAAAATACATATTTATTATGTATACTACAGTATAGGTGTGAAATATGCCAATTACATTCTATTTCCTTCTTCAGTTAGCACACAGTTTTTCTCTCTCTTAGCAAGATTCTCAAATCAAATTCAAGCGCAAATTTCTCTCTATGAATCCATTACGATTTTGCTTCTAAAAATCGTAGTTCCTCTCAAATTGGTAAAGCTTTTGGGTAGTTGTTTCTTACTTCTTTGCCATTCTTCTTTTACTCTTTACTCTCCTTTTAATTTCCGTCATTATTAGGATTTTCATAAGAAGCTTCAATTTTCAACATTAATGGATTATTTAAGCACGCCGGAGAAGGTTACACTAGGTATATCCACTAAATCCCTCAATTTTGATGGGTCATATTTTGATTTGCGCATCACTCAAAGAGGAGGTTGTATTTGTAGGTTCTGTAGCAACCATGGAAGCCGATAGGCGAACCAAACTACGCAATGACCCTATGAAATAAGTTGAAGATGCGAAATCTTTGAAAAGAGCTATAGTTGCTGATGTTTCTAAAGTTTCGGTACACAACATAAATGTGAAAAATAGAAGAAAAATTAGCAATGTTGCTTCCGGCAGCAAGGGAAAACAGGTTGCTAAAGGAAGTAGCTCGAAAACACAAAAGAAGAAGGTGATGTATATTTTTTTTATTTTTACATACATGTATATTGTGTATATCACAATCTTTTCTTTTTATATATACATAGACTCAATTTTTTAATTTTTTATACATTATACATTTGGAGATATTGGAGTGTTTGTCCTCATACAATGAATTTAGTTCGTACAATTTTTTTTGGTTGTGTATATAGTTATATTTATCTGTATTTGAATTCAGAAAATAATTATTCTGAATACAGTAACAGTACTATATCACTATTCTCATGATTCAAGCTTTGTATCTTGTCTCTACTATATTTTGAATACTATGTAAATAATGTATTCAAATATACTTGTATATATCTGTATTTGAAGTCAGAAATCATATATTTTAAATACACTGAAAGTACTATAACCACCTAATTGTATTTATATATATTTCAAGCATGTATTTACTTTTGTGGTATTTTTATGGAGGAATTAAAATTATTTGTTAAACACCCTTCTACTTTATCAGAGTATTACTCAAGCATATGCAGAGTATTTGAGCACATGTGGATTGATTCCATAAATAGTCTTTGATCCTAATTTACTCCGTCAGGATATAGTGCACTCTTTTGGGACTACGCTATGCGACAGTTAGATGCCGAGGCGATAAGCGATAATAAAGCACCGTCAAAGATTGTTAGGCAAATAACAGAATCAGATATATCTGTAAAAATAATGATTGAATAGTTTTATATTTTCCAGATTGTATTTTAGCTTATGATTAAATTCTTCATGATTTTCCGCAACTTTTGTTCTGAATACATGAATGTATTTTGTTGGATTTCCAGGATAGTTGATTCCAAAATATACACCTGTATTTATTTTAACTTGTCTTATTTTATTCTATATATTGGTTATATTAAACTTTTGAAATGTTTTGTATACATCCGATATGTTTAGGATGTATATAACATACACTGATAGTATTGTATCAATTTCTCATGATTCAAACATGTATTTTATCTTTACTGTATTTTAAATACTCAGAAAATAATGTATTCATATGTAGTTGTATTTATCTATATTTTGAAGTCCAGTAACAACCTATTTTGAATACACTGAATGTACTGTAACCACCTAGTTGTATTTAACAACATTCATATATATATATATAGTGTGTATGGATGTATACATATATTTACTGTATATATGCATGTCCTGTATCCACTTTATGATACAGTAGTTAATTGCAAGCAGTATGTTGCCAATAGAAATACATATACATGCCATCAATGTATACAACCTGGTTTAATGAATACAATAATTATTTAATGTATCAGGAAACTTAATCATACTGTATATATCCATATACCTTTAATACAATCATTCACGAACAATCAAATACATTAAGAAACTTAAAAGCGCAAAATTTTTAACTCACGTATAATTCATCAGTTCAAGTATCGAAATACAAAATCTTTAACAAATTAAACAAACATGGAAGGGAGGAATCAAAATTAGAGCATTGACGCTGAATACAATGCTATATTTTTTTGCTAAATGTTTGAAAAAATCTTCTAATTATGGCATGATAACGAGACGTGTTTGAATTGATTGGGTTGAGATCGTTTAGGAGTGATACACGTTAATTGATTACTCTGTCTGTTATTATACAGTTGTACTCCTTATTTATTAGGCGAATTACACGATTGTATTTATAAATATAGAAGCGCGAATACATCAAATACATCCGGGTAGCAACAAAATATTAGCTATAGAAAATAAATACGTATATTGTAGCTATAGAAAGTTAATATCCACTTAACTATAGTTATTTCTATATCATTAATAAGTTAGGACTATTACAATCCGGTGCTGCTTAATTTCATTAAAATGTGCTTTAATACAATGTGCATTTTTTGAGAATTGAATACGAGTTCTCTCCTCTGTCATAGTTGTAAGTTTTAATGCATACTACGTGGTAATGTCTAACAGTTTGTTCCAATGAACATTCACAAGCGGCACATTTTACCTATTTGATGCCTTGCGTGGTTTTGGTCTCATTCAGCACCTAAGGCACACAAATCAAAGTTTGGGCGTAACGGTGCTGTAAAGCATAGTACTTTTCTACTTAAGAACTTATTTTCTTCTAAAACTTTTACATAGTAAAAATAAATTCAACCACTTCCTTAGTTGACCTTCGTAACACTAATTTCTTTTAGGTTTGTATGTTCATCTCTCGTATTTTTTATTTAAAAATAAATTCTGCAGAAAGCCAATCTTCTACGTTTTCTTTTGAACGTTTTGTTATGTTCCCAAAACACAATTTTCAGAAAAAAACTTTAATTTTTCAGTTTAGGGAGAAAAAAAGAAAGAAAAACACACATACGAAAAAGGATTGTTCTTAGGATTAAACCATAACTATTTGTAAAGAAAACGCCAAATTCCGTTAAACTCGAAGTTATAGCAGTGACGTTTCCTGTTTTTAATTGAATAGATTTGATTATGGCGGAGGGTTTTGTCCGTAACTGAAATAAAAGTATTGTTTCTGTATTTATCCAATTTACAGAAGTAGTAAATATATGTTTCTGAAGCTATTACCTGGCAAGTGTTAAGGTAATCCAATTGGTTGCAACTGCCATATGTCAAGCAGCAGTAAGCATTAATATGCAACATCATGAAACTAACATACGTTTGGGAGTCAGAAATGTTATGAGCTTTTTTGCATGAAGACACAAACAGGGGCTGAGCTAGAGTGCCGGAAGCGGGTACGGCCGAACCCAATAGCTTTGGTTCGAATATTATATTTGTCTTAAAAATTTTATTGAATATGTATAAATTATTAATTTAGAACCCAGTAACTTCAAACGATTAGAATCTCAAACCCATAAACTTAAAATCCTGACTCCGATCCTACACAAATAAAAGTATCTAAAATTAAACGTGACGACACTACCAACTTAAAACGTGGAATGCTGTATAATGCATGCCTTTTAGACATAAAATCTTTCAACAACAACTTTGCCAACAGGAAATTTTAGCGACTGTCCAGTGTTCCATTTTTAAGTACTCTTTTAGGAAAGTTAATTATATTACCATTCAAATAACTTCTATCATCTTATAATCTCCGAGTCAGCTTAATATGCATTTCTAATATTATATTATTTCATAGATTTTTCTTATTTATATAGGACAGTCCGATATACGAAGTATTCGACATTTATACAGAATTCGAAGAAGGGTTGCATCTTAAAATATGTGATATAGAGAGTCTATTCTAATGCAAGCATCAATGATTGATTGTACGACTCAAGCTTGTAACCTCCAAGTCATACAAAAATAAGTTTACCATTGCTATAAGGTTCCTTCAATCTTTCTTACCAATATAGGTACGACAAATTTTTATCTACCAAGATTTGAAGTAAATCAAAGAAGATCAAGAATTTATTTTATTCTTTATATTGACAATATCGGAGTCAGTTTGCATTCAGTTCTGAGTACTATTTAACAAATATTTAGTAATAGTATCTCTTATCAACGTGCGACAAAAAATCATAACATTTTTTTTCCTATGCTAGTATCATACACTTTAAGTGCTTTTGGTCTAGTGTTCCATTATACGTCTCTGAAAAAGTTGATTATCTTACGTACTGAAAACTGAGACTTACCTTCTTTTTCTACTTTTAAATCACTACGGCCTTGTTGGAATTGAGCCAATCTAAATATAAAGACATCATTGGAGTACGGCACTATATTAATACTGTGTGTTTGTTTGTGTAGCACTGACTGAAATACTAAGAGCAGATCGATGAAAGCAACAATAACATATTATTAACCTCGCTCTCCTCTCCAATCCCTCCTTTTTTTTCAACTTATACGATCATTCTTTCTAAATCACCTCATGGCTGGCGGACAAAGTCGAACAAGTCTCAACAAACCATGTATTCTCCTCATAGGTAATTTAATCTTCAGTTTGTTCCTAGATTTTAATCTCCTCTTCCTTTGTAATTTTAGTAAAGTTACCGCCACGTGACTAGGAGGTCACGAGTTCGAGCAGTGAATATAGTTTTCTGCAGAAATGCAGGGCAGGGTTTCGTACAATAAACCCTTTTGGTTCGTCCTTTTTCGGAACCCGCACATAGCGGGCTGCCTTTTTGCTTCGTAATTCTCGCAATAAACTTGTCTTTCATTCTTGCATATTTACATGGACGTGTTTTGAAATTGGACAGTGATAGCGGGAATGGAGAGGTTTGCATTCAAAGGGGTGGCGTCAAACTTAGTGACATATCTAACAGATGTGGCCAAAATGAGCAATTCAGCGGCGGCAAAGAAGGTTAACAATTGGTGTGGTATTACGTCTATGCTCCCACTCCTTGTTGCTCCATTAGCTGATTCTTATTTGGACCGTTACACCACTGTACTGGCTTCTTCCTCTCTTTATGTTGCGGTAAGTACTTTCCTTTCTTTACCTTTCTACAGCACAATCATCAGTAAAAACTTACTCACACCGGTATTCAGGAGCGAAGCCACATTATCCTAATGACCCCTTGGTCAAAAAATTACGTTTTGTATATAGGTTAGAAAAATTCCCGACTTAGCCGGTGCGGTTATTTAATTTATACCTCTGATTAAAGTAAAGAAGATATGTTTTTCTAGGTCCAACTTGGACAGAGTTACATGGTTCGGAGGGTTCAATTGAATACCCTTGAGCAATAGAGAGTATAGAAACAGAACTTCAAAATTATTGTGTAATATAAAGTGTTGAGTTCTTGATACGGAGGAAACTTCTAGTCTAACATGGGTCAAAAATTGTGTTAGGTTGCAAGTTCGAATCTCATAAAACGTGATATTCTTGTATTTTTTTAAGTTTATCTTCTTACTATAATTTTCAGTCTCTTCTGTATGTCCAGGAATTTATAAAAAATCCAAAACATCTCAGAGATATATAAAGTAGATATTACTCAAACTAATTGCACTTCTTCAAATTATATGTTAGGAGCTATATATCCTGGCTATTCTGTAGTATATTCGTGTTATTAGATAGCTAGTGTCTATGTCAATCAAAGTAGGTGTAGTATTTTTTATCTGAGTCTGGATTTTTTTTTTTGATCTTTGAAAAGATTATTTTTTGCACTATTGAGGAAGAAAAAAAATTATGCTGATTCTGTTGCGTATTTGGGTGTACTAGTGTTGAATTAGTGGATTATCTACACGTAGATCATTAGCAAATGCCACGGTGGACCATGGACGTTGAGCCTGAGTCATCACTCACCTTTTTTCATCTGTGTAGAGCGCAATAACGTTGCATTATAACCTAATTAATCTTGCACGTAATAAATGCATCTTTATCAAAGCTTTTTTTAAAGTATGTACTATGTATACAGTTTTAAGTTTGTTTTTTGTCAACTCATTTACGTACATTATTGCTGCTTCAGGTGTGACTTAGTGTATCGCGCATTTATAATGTTTGCTCAGTGCATAATGCATAAAGATTTACCACTTCTCATTTTTCATTTTTCTGAGAATAATTACTGTTATAAAAACAGTTGATTTGAAACCATTTGTTATGTCCTCTAAACAAGGAGTAAAATTTTAAAACTATTGTACGTTGAACCTCAGTGCTTGATTATTCTTGAATACTTACAATTTAGTATCGCTGTCGGTTAAGGAAAGACATTTAACACTAACAAATAGTACAAAAGTTGCAGTTTCCTGACTGCATATGACCAGCAGATTAGTACTATACTATATTATAGTGACATCTAAATGGAGATATTAACAATAACTCTCTTTGACAATTAAACAATCAGGGTCTTTTAGCTTTGACATCATTGGCATTACAATGGCCATGGACTAATTCCGCTGACAAATCTGGCTTCACTTCATCCTTTTCTTGGTCTCTGAATTTAATTTCACTCGGCCAAGCCGGCTACAACCCCTCTTTGCAAGCTTTTGGAGCAGACCAATTTGACGATGATGAAGAATTGCCGAGTAGTAAAAATGATCAAAGCTCCAAGAAGAAAAGTTCCTTCTTCCAATGGTGGTATTTTGGTATATGTTGTGGAAGCTTGCTAGGAGTGTCTATTATGTCATATATACAGGACACATTAGGATGGGGCTTAGGTTTCGCCATTCCTTCAATTGCTATGGCTATATCAGTTATAGTCTTCAGATTTGGGAACCGATTTTATACACACAAGGATGGAGAAATTATTCATATTAAGTCATTGGGAGATCATATAGTTAAAGCTATTAAAGCAGCTACCTCAAGATTGACCTGTGGTGAGATTGCTGTTCCAACATATACTAACAAGTCAAATGTCAGTGAGATCGAGTAAGTATTTCTTTAAGGATTTTTTTTTGCGAGTTTAAATTCTATGCACTGACCATGTAAAAGTTTTTTTTACACAATCAGATCACTTGTAAAATAATCACATGTAAATATCTATAATAAGCACTAATTGGTAACTTTGGAGCAAGTAAAAAGGTAACTAACGTGCTATACTATGTCAAAATCAGTATATATAACTTAAATCATTTGCAAAATATATAAATTTCTTGGTCAAGTAATGCTCATTATAGCTGATTTTTGTTCATAGACTTGAAGATAGACCACTCTGCCAACAAGATTCAGGGAGCAAAGATGGCGCAGACAAAAAATCGGAGAATGGGATCAATTTTGTTAAAATTCTAAAAGTAGTACTGCCTCTACTACCAGTGTGGACTCTGCTTCTGATGTTTGCAGTAATTTTTCAACAGCCTGCAACGTTCTTTACTAAGCAAGGTGTGACAATGAAGAGAAACATAGGAAACAATTTCCGAATTCCACCAGCTGCGCTTCAGAGTTCAATTACCATATCTATAATTCTGCTCATGCCACTGTACGACACGTTCTTCATCCCCTTCGTTCGCGTTTTCACAAGTAACGAGAAGGGTATCACTGTGATGCAGAGAATGGGAATAGGTATGTTCCTTTCAGTAATAGCAATGATAATTGCAGCTGTTACTGAAAGAAAAAGACTCGAGATCAGCAGAAATTTGGTAACTTCTTCAGAAACTGTGCCAATGAGCATATTTTGGTTGCTCCCTCAATACATTCTCCTGGGAATTTCAGATATATTCACAGTTGTTGGAATGCAAGAGTTCTTTTATTCTGAAGTTCCTATAAATATGAGAACATTAGGCATTGCCCTTTATACTAGTGTTTTTGGGTGTGGTAGTTTCTTCAGCTCATTCCTTATATCCGTGATCGAAAAATTGACAAGTACAAGAGGAGCAAAGCAGAATTGGTTCGCTGATGACATGAGAAAAGCCCGTTTCGACAACTATTATTGGTTTCTGGCTTTGTCAAGTGCAGCAAGTTTTCTATTATTCATGGTTTTCTGTCGATTTTACAGAAGCAGGACTATAGTTGATTAGAGTGTTGGTAGTGACTCTAAGTTGACAGATAGCTCGTTATTGTCGAATGCTGTATTTTGTGATGTGACATAATGACATTCATTTCTAGTTTCTAGGAGAAATAGAAGGTTCTGTACTTATTGTAAATCATCAAAGATTGTATATAAATAAGATAAATTTTGGAGTTTTTCTTTTTTCTTTTTTTCTGGAAGGGCTCTATCTGTCATGACTAATATGGGGACACAATCCAAACTAATCTATAACCAAAATACTTGGTCACTTAAAAAAAAAAACGTTTGTTTACTGCTTCCTCTACAATAAAAAGAGAGCTATTTTTGGTTTGATTTGGAAAGAATAATAAGAAACAAACAAGCAAATAAGAATATGGTTTTGAATAGAATGGGTTAGGTTATAACACATTAGGCCCAAATTGACCCAACTAGCCAAAATGACACTTCTACGGTTCTACTACTACTTTTGACGTTTAAGACAGGTTCATCAAAACAATTTCTTTGGTTTGAAGCTTAGTATATTAAAGAATATAAACGTGACAATTGTGTTCGTGATTGTGGCAAATATTAGCACTATTTTAGAATTAGAAGAGTTGATGAATAATAATTTGGTATAAATAATAATTTGCATCAAGTGGAGATCATAATAACGAGGTACTCAAGGCATATATAATAAGATCAGTGTTTTTAAGAGCGAGAAGCGCAAAAAAGCAACAAGGGCTCGCCTCGCTTCAAAAGCGAAGCGCACGCTTTATTAAAGTGAATCACAATTCTTAAAAAACATAATGTAAATCTTGCAAAGACACAATATAAAATTATAAATAATCAAAAAGTTCAATTTAAAAACTTAAAAGTAGGTACTAGGTACCACCAAATCCTCCACAAACCATAGGACAAGCAAAATCAAAGCTACTAAATTACTAGAATCAACATATTATTCTTCTACTCTTCTTGTTCTTCTTCAAGATTGTCAAAATCTTGAATTCCTCTATTATCTTCAATATTGCTCGTCATCTTCTTCTTCCCCTTCCTCTTCCTCTTCATGATCACTTTCATCTTCATCAATTAGGGATATGGATCGACTTCTAGTAGCCACACTTTTTCCCTTCCTAATCGAGCTTGAACTTGAAGTATTCCCCCTTAAACCATAATAATTTTTTCCAACTCTACTAGCAACCGCAACATCACCCCAAGTGAAATTAGAGTCGTCTTCAAATACTTCATCATCTTCACAATTTTCGGGGACTCCGGTTAGCCACTCATTAGCCTCATCAATATCATCTAAAAGAATTAGATCAATTAGATTGCGGTGGTTGTAGCGACGCCTCAATGCTCTATTGTATTTTATGAACACTAGATTATGGAGGCGCTTCAAGGTTAGTCGATTCCTCTTCTTTGTATGAATCTCCAAACAAGATGTGTCAACTAATTAGTAGGAGTTGGGACAATTGAGATATAATTTACTTTATTTCAAAATACGAAATAATTCTTTTTATTTCTCACGTGTTCAAAAACGCTCTAGTTCCTTTTACATCAGGTTGAGCTACATGTTAAACTTAGAACTCTGATGGCGAAAGTTTGTAAATCCGGAGTCTCTACACCATATTGGTCCCACCACTCAACTATAGAAGTGAAAAAATATATTCAAGAGTTAATAAGTATAAAAAATACATTAAAGTTAGAGCTATAAAATATATAAACACTTGGTCACCTGGCGACTTCGTCTTTCTTTGTTTAATAGCAAGTCAGAGCTTAAAAAGTCCTTCAGCTGCCTTGTAAATAGCAAGCTGATCTACTATCTTTTCTTGCAAGTATTCATTTGGGGTCAACTTGATAACAACCTCATGGAATCCTGTCCACAGTTCTCTAGCCAATGAATTATTTTCATGCTGATCATAAAAGAGTGACGGGTTTAGAATAAGTCCAGCAGCATGCAAAGGTCTATGAAGTTGCTCACTCCATCTTGCATCAATGATCTGAAAGACCTTTGCATATTTCTGCTCATCAGTGAATGATGCTTGAATAGCCTCCTTGGCCCTATCCATAGCTTCATAGAGGTAGCCCATTGGTGGTTTTTGCTCCCCGTCCACCAAACAGAGTATTTTAACCAAAGGGCCACCAATTTTAAGAGCATGAAGGACATTATTCCCAAAATAATAAGAAAGAATAATGCGTGCAACATCTTTCCCCGCACTTTCCATTGCAAATTTACTTTTGCTCCATTCTTCTGAAGTGAACAACTTTCTCAAATTGGCTTTTTGCAAGTGGATACTATGCAAAGTCAAGAAAGTAGTGGCGAACCTTGTCTTGCCCGATTTCACCAATTTTTTTTGTCTGGTGAATCTTCTCATCATATTCAATAACAAGGGCCGCTGAGAAATATAAGAATGTACCCTAACGCCCTGGCCAAAAACTGTAGAGAAGGGTTTTTCCTTGAAAATGTCCCCGAAGATTAAGTTGATACAATGAGCCGCACATGGAGTCCAATAGACATTCTTGTACGCTCCTTCCACCATGCCACCCGCTTTCACATTTTCACTCGCATTATCAGTGACCACTTGAACAACTTTGCTTGGGCCAATCTTTTCAATGGTGTTCTGAAACAAGGTGAACATTTTGATGTGGTCAGTGGATGAGTCCCTAGCATCAATGGACTCAAGAAACAAACTTCCCTTGGGAGAATTCACCAACACATTAATAATTATTTTTTCAGTTCTTGCCGTCCACTTATCCATCATAATGGAGCAGCCATACTTGTTCCACGCAACTTTATATTCCTCCACAATTTTATTAGTCTCCTCCACCTCCTTAATTAGATAAGGACCTCTGATTTCATGATAAGTGGGAGGCTTCATTCCAGGTCCGTATTGACTAACGACCTCAATAAAGTCTCCAAAAGTATCAGTATAGTTGACACAATTGAAGAGGAGCCCAGCATCATAGACCCATCGTGCAAAAGCTCTAACTGCACGATCCCTCAAAATGTCCTTAGCAATTTTTTGTACATCTTTTCCACCGCTCTTTCCTTCCGGCTTCTTTGGGAAATAGCAATCTATAGGACCTTTAGTCCTACTCGTACCCGTCGATCCATGGCTTGAAGAGATTGCATCTCTTCCCCGTTTTGTTGGAAGTGACAATTCTTCAATATCATCATCATCATCATGAAGATTGGTTACCAATGGTTGATGACTCATTTGATTATTTTGCTCCTTCTTCTCAACAAAATTCTTTATTTCATTCCTCACCTCCGGTGGGCATTTCGGACAACTTGTGACGTTTCTATCTCCACCAATAAGATGGAATTTAAAGCGATAAATTTCACCCGTTGTAATCTTGTTACAAAACTTACATACAACATTTGTATTCTTCTTATTAACTCTATCCCATATCGCCAAGCCGGGTCTTTCTCTTTCGATCTTTGAGACATTTTGAAATCCATATTAAGATATAAGAAAATACATAATCAAATAAACTGAAAATACATATAATATATATAATAATTAATTTTATAAACTGAAATACACATTAAAAAAATCAAATAAACTAAAATATAACATATATATATATATATAATAATTAATTTTCTAAAATAAAATACATATAAAATTAATCAAATAAACTAAAAATATAACATATATATAATAATTAATTTTATATACTGAAATATATATTAAAAAAATCAAATAAACTGAAAAATGTAACATATATAAATAATAATTAATTTTATAAACTAAAATACATATTAAAATTAATAAATAAGAAGAATAAAAGGGGGGAAAAAACAGAATCTGGACGGGTCAGAGATAAAGGAAGAAGAAGAAGACGCTGACCAGTGTGCAAACGCTGGACTGGTCAGAGTCTCAGAGATAAACGAAGAAGAAGAAGGAAGAAAGAAGGAAAAAGAAAGAAAAAAAAAAGCAGAATCTGGACGGGAACAAGAAGAAGAAAGAAAAAAATTACCTGGACTGGTCAGCAATGTCGATTAAATTGAAACCCTGCTTTGGTCGATCGAAGAAGAGAGAAGAAGAAATGGCCAATTTTGGTCTTAGGGTAGACCCAAACTTTGTTTTTTTTTTAAAAAGGGCCCTCTTAACAGAAGCGAGCGCTTAGTCGCTTCTGTCGCTTCGTCAACTGAAGCGCACGCTTCACACGGTCGAGTCGCCTAAGGCTGTTAAAAGCGATGGCTGGTCGCTTCGCGCTTAAAGCGACGAAGCGATGGCTTTTTCAAACACTGAATAAGATGGCAACTAAAATTAATGAATGTCATAATCTATACCAAATACAGGTTTATCAACAACTTCTGCATTCGCTGCAGGTAATTCGAATGAATGACCAGCATTTTTTTTGGTTTCCTATATGATGTTTGGTACTCGCCCGACCAAATCAGTATTCGCATGGGAAAGTACCATATCAGGGGTAAAGCGCTCCCTAACAAAGGTGATACCAAGGGCTCCAACCCGAAGCCTCTGGTTAAGGATGAACGAGTACTTAACACCCACAAAATCCTTGTTCGTAATGACCAGCATTTCAAAGTTCAGGAGATGCTGCAACCAATATCTTTTGCTAGTATATTCAAAGCTAATGTATTCATTTTCCAGAGATCATTTATGAAAGGACAAATCTCTAGTTCTTTACTGACCTTGACTCGAGTATATGCACTCGGAAACTATTGATGTCAAATATAACCCAACAAATCGCCAGCAAATGATTAAGGATGTGAAATTTGAACTGATTACAGAAGCTTTTTTTATTTATCTATAAGTACTAGAGTATGTATATATTAGTGGTGAAGTACAAAGACAAAGGCAGTAGAAGTAGAATGCTGTAGTGCCATCGCTGAAGTGTAATAGAGGTGCTGAAAACAAAAAGGATACCAGTTGCTATTAAGAAAACCATCATTCAAATAGAAGCTCGCAAAAATATGGCACCCTAAGGGTGTGACCTAGCGGTCAATGAAGTAAGTGAAAATAATGGGAAGTGAAGGTTCAAATCCTGGCAAAAACAAAATGCTAATTGATTTCTTCTAACCTGCCTAAGCTTCGGTCAGCAAAATTATCCGATATCTATGCTGGTAGGCGTAACAGGTTTTCGATGAAATAGTCGAGCTGCAAAAGCTGGGTCCAGAGAGAGAGAGAGAGAGAGAGACAGAGGATCTGCGATGTGCAAATGCCCAATAGTAATCTCTAACATAGCTTCTATGCACCAAAGTTAGTAAGTCATCCCCCTTACTTAATCAGAGAGTAGTAACCATGTAAAAACCTTTCAATATAAACCAGACCTGGATTCACTTTGGTAGATTAATGCAGCTTAAACCTTGTGCATGAATTCACTTCCACAGAGTGAGATAACCTCATCGAGTACTCTTGGAAATCAACAGATTTACGCAATGTTTTAGAAAATCAAGTTCTCTTAGATGGTCAGATCGTCATGTAATTGGATGAGAGAGGACAAGTAAAACCACTGACTGAAAAGTGAAACTCTGCAATTCTACTCTCTTTATAATGCTCAGCTGCAAAGTACTAAAATCATCTAAAGCCTCTAAAAAATTTCAACCTTTCTTTTACTCAATGATCATTAGATATACTTTTTGAGGAAAAACGTTACAGAAGTATGTCCTACCTATGAATATGATAAGATTGTCTAACAGGATCAAGGCAATAGTTCATCAAAATTCCAAATTACAACCAATTCTTGTAATTCAGAGCATGGTGATATCACTCACGCTTCATGCTGCCTTCTACCTAAATCTACTTGGTATAGTGTAGACCATTTGTGCTGGTTAACTAAGAGGCACTAGAGCAGCTGTAGCAGGATTAAGCGAGAAGCCTAGTCAAAACCTCTGTTACAAATCTTAGGCCAAAGAATGCATAACTCGAATAGTTTTATCAACATAATATAGATATTTCCAGATCAGAAGTATGGCATGCAAACTAGCAGTCAGAGATCTTTATCAAAATACAACCACACTATATTCATCCAGCAGACACAGTGGAACCCAAAGCATCACTATCTTTTTTCTTCTTATAAATATAAAAGCCAAAACATCATTATTACTTGATCTCATTCTCCTTTTTCCAGACTCTTCCAGAACTGGTATGCTCAAATCTCTTAAAAGCAGTTTCAGGAAAACGCGTAGAGAGGATGTTCAAAGAAAACATTAACGCAAGCGATAACTAGTATTGTGGCCATGTTTTAAATAATAGACATATGTGCTTGTCCATACATTTTAAGCATTGTGTCCTCATCTTTTTACATGTTTGTTAGAAATGCCAGATAGAATGCATATATTATGTCTATTAAACCAAATTTTCCTTGCTTATCTACAGCATGATAAATTAGAGACGCTCACAGGAAGTGTATTACTTCTAAGAACTTCACTTATCTGTTCAATGTCTAGTATCTAGAAAAAGTTGAAGCTCAGCAGCCTCAACTCTAAAGTTCTACAAGAAAGTTCATTTACAATTTAAAAGTCCAAATATAGAAAATGAACTACAACAACACCAATAACGACCCAGTAAAATCCCACAAGTGGGGTTTGGGGAGGGTATTGTGTACGTAGACCTTACCCCTACCTCGAAGGAGTAGAGAGGCTGCAATAACAAAACTAGAAAATAAGCCCCGAGCTATGAACGGGAAATATAGTAAAACTCCTATTGAATAAGAAACTGTTATTCATCATTAGTATCAAAGAGCAAGTCTTCCGTATACAACGCACAACAAACGAGAAATTTAAATCAGTTTAAAGAATTTCTAACACAATACCATAATTTGAACTAGAATCATCACAAAGAAAAAGCATAAGACCTTTTTTTTCTCAACTCCTTTTTACAAAGAGAACTCCAATGTCTAAAGCATAACTACCTTTGCAAAGAATAAATCCTTATACCTAGTAACAAAAAATTCTAACCCTGGATTACCTCAAGGATGTGTATGATAGCCATTAGTTCCTGATTCAGGAGCTGTCACAATAGCCTTTTGCATTTCTACATTCCTCTCTTCTTTTATCCCATTCTCATCGTCATCTTCATCAGACTCCAACGTAAAATGACCTTGACTATCCATTTCCAAGTGTTGCATCTCAGCTCCAATAGGTCTATACCGCATATGTTCAGGGCCAATACCATTCTTTTTACACACAATTGAGTACACAAAAGCAATAACAGTCACAAGAAGAGCAAGGTGACAATTAAACTGAAGGGTAGCAATAGCTCGACCGCGATGATACTCTGGATGACCTTTACACTTAACCGTATAATTACCTCTACTCTTTTCATGCAAAGAGCAACCTTGTGCTATCAAATCAGAGAAAAAAGAGAACCCCATTTGCAGAATCCACATTCCTTGCAAGATTAACCCAATCCCACGTCCCAATTTAGCATATTTCAATTTGGGATTTTTTAATTCAAGAATTGAGCAAAATGCACAAATAGTAATAGGCACAAGCAAGAGATCATAGTAACGATTCTCAACTCCACTTGGGTCTTTTCTTTGAAGGTAAAAAAGCAAAAATTCCTCAGCAAAAGCGAAAAGGCAAAGCAAACTGAGGATCTTGGAAGGTAAAAGATAAGATTTTTTTAAGTGGGTCATTAGGCCTAAAACCGAATAGAGCAAGAAAAGAAGAGAAATTGCAATTACCTGCAATTGAAGAACTGAACCAATTTGATCTTTAGAGTTAAGTGCATCAAAAAAGGATAAAAGGGAATTGAGAATGAAGAGAAATGAGAGGATTAAGATTGATACAAAGGTGATTAATGAAGAAAAAACAGAATCTTGGGCTTGCTTCTCTGTCAACGATTGGGAAGTGGAGGACGGTGATGAATTTTTCAGGGCAGCGGAGGAGGAGATTAAAGATTCCCAAGCGCCGACTAGTATGAATCCGCCACCGGCTACAGTATAGGAGAATAGCCCCATTGTTGACTTTGATTTTCTTTAGATCTCTCTCTTAAGGAATTTTCTGTATATATGTTGAAGGGGGACGGGTTGTGCCAACCTATTAAGTCTGCGCCCCTATAGTTGGACTTGTCTGAATTTGCTTTCCACCTGACCTTCGTAAGAATCAGAAACTCTCTTATTTTTTTCTTGCCCTTTTTATTTTTATTTTTGGGGGGGGGGGGGGGGTCGGTCGATTTGTACATCACATTGGTATTGTGTATATTTGTGTTTTCTCAATACGAGAAAAGATTTGGAAACATTTGTGTTCTCCAAAGTTGTGTGTTGTGTTACACAAGCTCAACTTGCACAGGTATCTAGAGTACTTTTTATCTCTTTTTTGGGGGGCTATATTAGTGCCTTATTTTTCTTTTCTTTTTCTTAATAAGATCATGATCCATAATTGTTATAGATCCATATGCACCAAAACTACCAAACCACATAGGAAGTGTTGATGCTCCGTATCTATTGAGATCAACTAAAATGTTGATTAACAATTGGTTTAAGGTTGAGGCGTTAATCTTTTTGAATTAAGTCTAATTTGGTTATATTTTAAGGTGGCCTTTAAGAGATGTTTTAGGTAAAAATTTGTCTGCAATTGATATGCTTTAATATGTTATGTAGGCTTTAGTCCCTCAAAACATAAATATATCATTAGTGACAAACATGCTTAAGTAAGTTATACACGCGACATATGATCAAAGTAGGAAATTAAAGAATCATAAAAATACATGTAATATAAATTAGGAAATTAAAAATTCACAATGATGTATATATTGATCCTGTGCTGATGTGTTATCCTTGTCTTCCCTTTTTGCCTTCTCTCCGCTTATACTTGTGATTCTAGTGTATATATTATCCTTAATATTCTTTAATGAAGGAAAAAGTCACAAGGTAAATAATATTTCACCTCCTAATGAGTTTACTTAGCGCAAATTCGTATTGATTAGGACAATGAGTTTTCGCATTACAGATGCCTAGGAAAGAAAAATGTGACAAATGTATACGTTCAGCCTTTCCTCCCAAATAAAGTACACCAGAATTAGCACATTTTTTATACGCCACGCCCACGTTATCCTTCACATTTTTGTGCCTATGCTTGTTTTAATATACTATAGTTTTTCTCGTGTACGCCTCATGTTGATCCCCTTGGAAACTTCTTGTTCTTTTCTCTTACAAAGTAAAAAACTGCACTTTTTGTATACGCCAAAATCTGTACTTTAGGATATTTAGCGTAATATGACATTAAAGAAAGAGTCGGTCGAGCTCGCCCAAGATGCAGCGAAGTCATTGGCCGAGGTGCCAACATGAGCCGTAATCGAGATGTTGACAGGAATCGCCGTCGAGATGTCAACAAGGGTCGAGGTCGAGATTGACTATTGATGATAAGACTTGTAACGGCTAATTTATCAAGATATGATACTAAAAGGAAATATTTTAGTGGATATTCCCTGCATTTGTACTATTAAGGTTTTCTAGGAAAAATGCTTCATATATACAGAAGGAAGAGACAATGATATGGGCATGTAATATTGATTTTGATAAGAACACTTTTGAGAAATAAGACTCTCTATGGCAAAAATACAAAGACTACCTTTTGATAAAGATTCTTGTTCATATTATTCCCACCTTTCCACCAGATCCGAGGATTGTTCATATGAATCTTAGACCTATCTGTCATTCATCATTGTCAGGAGAAATATTCGTTCAACCCACTAATTATTGGGTTAATCTTTCTCCTTATTTACCTAAATGTCATTTATTGTTAATTATATCTCCATTAATGTTCAGGCTTTAAGAATTTTTTGCACTTATTGTCATCAACCATTCACGGGATCTGTCCCATCTACCGTACATTTTCAAGATTAGTGTCTAGAGTTATTATCTTTGACTAGATTTAACCCCTTGTTACATAAATTTAATAGTTTAACCGGAAATTATACTTTTTGGTCAAACAATTTGGCGCCGTCCGTGGGGATTTTCTAGCTAAGTCTTTTAGTTTCTTCTAGATCTACAACCGACACTGGTTACTGACATAAAAAAAAGAACCTTCTTCTCTTTTTATGCATAGATCTAATATGGCAAGTAATAGAGATGAAGGAACGAGAATAATGAGTGACCTCCCAACCAACCTCATGTACATCATCCACGAAAGTTTTGAAGTAGTGGATGAGGACACAATGACCAATGCCTCTCATATGCGAAGTGGATCACCCCCTCCCTACTGCAGTATCACAAAATCTCATGGCAAGACAGCCTCCACATCCGTGGGAGAGGAGACACCACCAGTGATAAAGAAGCTCCTTGAGGCTTGGCTAACTGATACACTGACCAGCATCCTTCATAAGCCAGTTCATGACGCGGCCGTAGTAAAGGCGAGATCATGTGCCTCACCATCAGTGGACGAGCATCATGATCAACCTCCTCCTCCACCCACGACGACAGGTATTACTCACAGTGTTGTTAACAATGCAGGCGACGACGCTCTCACAGCCATTCTGAAAAGGATGGAGGAAATGAAAAATGAGAACAAGACACTTCGGGATCAAATGAGAGAGCACCAAGAAATGGTCAATAAAATACCGGGAGCTCCTAAGTTATTGCCGAAGAGAGACATCGGCCGGTTCGTCGAGCAGTCGTACAGTGATAGCGCTGCCCCACATGTCATACCAAAAACCTTTAAAATGCCACCTTATCTGAAAATATACGATGGCACAACCAACCCCGAGGATCATGTGACCTATTAAGTCACCACCGTGAAAGGCAATGATCTCGCCAAAGAACAAGTATCCTCTATTCTGCTAAAGAAATTCGGCGAAACCCTCACGGGAGGTGCATTAACCTGGTACTCGCAACTGCCAGCACGCTCCATCGAAACCTTTGAGGAAATTGCCGATAAGTTTGTGATAGCCCATGTTGTGGCCAAGAAGGCCGAAGCAAGAGTGAATGACATCTTTGCTATCAAATAGTCCCCGGGAGAAGGACTGAGGGACTTCCTTGTCCGTTTCAATCAAGTAAGAATGACTTTGCCCAATGTATTAGAAGGAATAACGGTAACTGCTTTTCAAAATGAGCCTAACAGAAATGGTTCAAGGGAGACAAAAAAATTATTAAGTCGGCTTATGAAATATCCCCCAACGATTTGGGACGAAATACATAACGCGTACTGTGCCGAAGTCCGAGCAAACGAAGACGACCTCAATGGCCCGACTCATCGCCTGGCCTTGGTACAAGCAGAATCCAGAATAGATCGGAGAAATGATATAAGAAGAGATCCAGTGGCCTCACGGCCAAACCAGGAACGACATCTCCCATATGTCAGAACTACCATTGTATCCTCATCTCGTCATGAAGAAGGCCCACCCTGATCAAGAACAGGGACTCACCGGAATGAGAGAGGTATGCCCCATTTACTATCCGATCACAATTTTTGCGTGTCACCTACAGATATCGTCTGCGCCTTGGAGAAGCTCGGACCAAAGGTAAAATGGCCACAAAAGATGAGGTCGGACCCGAATACCACAAAATCAGACGCCCTCTGCGAGTTTCATCAAGAGCGAGTACACAAAACCGAAGATTGCATCGCCCTAAGACAGGAGGTCATAAACATGTTGCGACAGGAATACCTCAAAGTATTGCTGAGCGATTAGGGAAGGACCAATTTTGCCAGGGGACACGAACAACATCAAGGTCCGCCGAAGCCTCCCTCGCTAGCCCGTACCATCCACATGATCATCGGTGGCAGGGACGACACTTTCATCAACAGCGTGAAGTTCACCACAACCCACAAGCTCAAACGATCGATCACCCACGAATGGTATGATAAACTCGAAGGAAGTATCACCTTCGATAAGTCAGATACCAATGGTTTGGAATTCCCTCACTATGACGCTCTCGTTATTACTTTACGAATTTTAGATACCGACGTAAGACGAATTATGTGTCACGACCCAAACCAATGAGGAGTGACGGGCACCCGGTGCCTTACACAACCGAGTACCAACATAACATATCTTTATGTATCATGGGTAAATGATAAGGAAAGGTTGTTGTAGGATAACTAAAATAAAACATTAATACCAACTTGGGCCTATAAGACCAAAATGATCACTCGTACACTAAGCATAGACCGACAAGACCATACAATCTTTTACGTACATGGAATATGTCTACAAGCCTCTAAGAGTAGATAAATATCATAAAGGTAGGGACAGGGCCCCGACATACTAAAAAATACATGTCCGAATCATACTGACCAAATAAGCAACTTCGGAGCAAATGGAGCGCACCAACATCTTCCGCTGAGCTAATAGCCTGCTTGGAGAACTCTCAACCTGTCTATCGGGACCTGCGGGCATGAAATGCAGCGTCCCCAGGCAAAAGGGACATCAGTACAAATAAAGTATCGAGTATGTAAGGCATGACAGTAGTATATAAAAGACATGAAAGAAACATGAAGTAAAGAACTCAACCGGTAATTCTGAATAGCTCTGTGAATCATAAAAAATTATAATGTCATGCATGTGCGTATAAATGCCATACCATGTATAGGTATATACGTACATAACATCATCAAGCCTATGAGAGCATCCCATCCCATCATATCATCTAAGCCATTGTGGGCAAAATCATCAACGTATACCAGCTGATTATGTGGTGGTGCGTATATAACACCATAACCTCTTCCCATATCCCATATACATATAATAAACGTGTATATAACTCCATCTGGTCATGGGTCAATGTACATGTATACATGAATGAAATGCATAAGAAGTACGTTAATAAGATTTCTCAAAATGTCATAAGATCAATAGGCCTTTGATTAATATCATGAATTAAACTTTATCAACTTGCGTATTTTTTCTGAGACCCGTGAACAGATGATAGAATAATAAGACACATGGGGAATCAAGAATATAGACATTCATAGTATTTCTATGAATAGAGTCATTTATGAAAGTTGCATATTTGCTCGTTTCGTTTGTATTGTACGGATCATGCCAAAAGGAAATGAGGGATAACCTTAACATACCTTAACTCCGTTGAGTCCTTAATACCTTCCAAGAAATTCTTCAAACAACTCAACCCAATATACCACATCATAATGAGATT